AAGAAAGGCTGATTAGGAATATTTAGACACAATAAGGCTAGAGAATATTATTAAGAACAATACTCAATGTGTGGTAAGGAGTATTTAGACATAATATTATTGGATTAAATATTAATTAATTAAACAACAGACTAAGACAAACAAGAAACTGTATAAGACAACTAAATTCAGTGCTGTGGGATAAGAACATTACGATAAAGACAAAAAAGTGAATATATAATACCCTGACAAGACGTATCCTGACATATGGGTCCGAAAACTGGACAATAAACAAGAGAAATAGAGGTAGAATAAGAGCAGTAGAAATGGAGTTCCTGAGGAGAAGCTGTAGACTTACAAAAAGAGAAAACGCAGAGATTAAGCGGAGAATGGGAGTGCAATCAGACATAATTGACTATATAGAGGAGAAGAGACTATCCTGGTACGGCCACGTCAGAAGAGACTGGGACATTCCCTGGAATGACAGGGAAAATTGGAGAAAACGGTTGAGTGAAGGAAGACAGTGAACCCTGTGGAAATCCTTAGTAGTAAATATTAATCCAAATTTTTAAAATTATACGATTTGATAGACAACAAAGCCAGAGAATATTATTGAAAACAATACCCAATATCGTCGAAAAAGAAAGGCTAGTTAGGAATATTTAGACACAATAAGGCTAGAGAATATTATTAAAAACAATACTTAATGTGTGGTAAGGAATTTTTAGACATAATATTATTGGACCATTCTTCTATGAAGAAAATTTCAATTTAGAAAAATTTTTGGACTTGGTGGCTATCTAGAAGAGATTTTACCGAGACTTGCAGAAGTAACACCAGATGAAAAAGAAATTTGGTTTAATGGATGGGTGCCCTGCACGCAATAGCCGGGAGGTCAAGTGATTCCTTTAAAATAGTTTTAATAATTGTTTGATTGAACCTAACTGTAACATTAAATGGTGTCCAAGATCGGAAGATCTAGCTCCAAACGATTGTTATCTGGGGACATCTAAAATAAAAAATTTAGTCTTTCAAAAATTTAAAGATGTTGAACCATTAAAAATGTTAGATGAGAATTTAACAATCTATTTGATATAATTTAATGTTTAGAACTTATCATAAAAAATTTTTTTTTTATTCGTTCTTTAAATAATAAAAGTGTACATTTACAATTAGGAATCACGGTTCCAGCATTTTCTAACTTATTTAAAATTTTCTGAATTGTACAACTAGAAATTGGTATATTAAAATATCTTACGCTAAATAAAGATCTGGCAGTGCTCATACTATTGCCTGAATAAAACATCATTGCAGATGTTTGCTCAACTTTATTGCATTTTAAACAGTAAATCATAAATTAAAAATATTGACAATTCAAATATTGTTAATTAGAACTTCATTGTGACCAAACGAAACCAATTAACATTTTGCTTGACGTGTGGCTTAATTTTTACATTAATGCTCCGGTAAATGTAAGTATTATATTTTTGCAAAATTTTGAAATGTTTAATTCCTAGAACAATTTTAACATTTGTTTTTAATACAGATTTCAGTCCCCTACAAATAGTTTTTTATGACTTTTGATGTAAAATAATTATGAAAGCAGAAATTCAACCGTTTGGAATTTCCATTGAGTTTCCTATGGCCCGTTTGACAATTCACCAGCGGGTATACCTAAATGTTCTTGATGCATATGCCACCGGATTAAATTCACCATTCATCCTTTTCTGAAGAAGAGAAGCACCAAATCCATATGAAGAACAAACTAAAGTAAAAGCCATATAAGAAGACCGTTTAGCAATTAGGCGATGATCAGTGAGCATCAAACAATTTTTAAAATTTAAAATTTAATTTCAACCACTTCAAAAGTAAATTATTTAGTTTAATTTATTTAATGTTCAGTAAGAATAAATATAATATATTTATGTAATTTATTACACAGAATAAAATTTATTTTATTAATGATATTTTGAATATAGTAATCACTCCGTTTACTCTACTATACTATAAACCCATAATATACGCCAGGGTGGACTCTCCTCTGTTCCCAGCATCAGTCTCCAAACATCCCTTTCCTTCGCTACTCTTCTCCGGTCATCCATCCTCGCGTTTCTACTTTCCGACGTCATACTATAGTTTCACTAGGTATTCTATTATTATCCATTCTTATAAATTGGCCTATCCAGTTTAATGTTTTATATTTTTTCATAATTTGCTATCGAGAATTCTTTGTAATATTGATATGACTTGAGGTTGAACCTTATTCGTCACATACCATTGTTGTATTATGGACCCCAACATTCTTCTTAACAACTTTCTTTCAAAAGTATTAAGATGGTTTATTGTTTTTTTGTGTCATGATCCATGTTTCTGTGCCATATGTTGCTATTCGTCGTATGATGGTTTTATATATTTTAAACTTTACTTCCCTATGGAGGTCCTCGACTTTTTAAGGGACCATTTTTCCCTTCCTGATAGGCCCTGACCCTCCCTACCACTGAGGTTGGTTACCCAATCTCCGGTAAGGTTGCTCAGGTTTGCCTTTGCCGGGGTTCATGCCGGGACACCTCGGGTAATCAGATCAGTGATAGCATAAGGAGCGGAAGTAATGTGTTTTACGAAAAAAATATGAAGAAAAACTAAGAATAATTGAAAGAAAAATTATGAGAAGAATACACTTCCTAATACAGACAGAACAAGGAGGATATAGAAGACTAATGAACCATGAAATAAGAAATAGAACCGAATGATAAGACCTAGTAAAATTTATTAAAGCAGAAAGACTGAGAAACCGAGAGCAAGATCAAAGATAACATAGAAAGAACAACTACTAAAGGATATATACCATAAATGGATATTGCAAACTAGAGAGGAAATTTTTCAGGACAGGAGAGATTGAAAAAAGATAGTAGGTAAAGCAGAAAACACATGGTATATTTTTAAAAATAGCCTAAAGAATATATATGCAGACGAATCTAACTCGTTAAATAAATTGAAAAAGCTTAAGGATTATTGAGCGATATTATATGTATATCGTATGACAACGGTAAGTTATAACCACTGAGATTGCAAAAACTGTTCCCATGTTTTAAATAACATTTTTGAGGATTGATCATTTCTTCCTATTGCTCCGTGTCCTTTCGAATGTTAGCGATCCAAATGGCAATTGTAGCTTTGGAAACTACTGCACGAAAGATTTCTGTGGATGAGCGGTCAAACTATCTCCTCAGATCTTTTAGCCATGAGTTCTGACGTCTTCCAACTGACCTTTTGCCCTGCACTTTACCTTCCAATATGATTTGGAGTAATTCATATCTTTCACTTGTTTTGTTTAGAGCAGCAAGTTCTAAACTAAAAATAGCCATTATGATTGCCAACCTCCGTATGGCGACCTCACCGTTTATAACTTTTTGTATCCATGGAATTCTCGGCATCTGCCTGTATGTATAAATTTCCAAGGCTTTTTTGTTTTAGAGTCCATTGTACAACTTTCACAGCCATATAGCAAAACAAAAAAAAACGTAACATCTGATCATTCGAATTTTGAGCTCTAGACTAAGGTCTGATCTTGCAAAAAATGTTTTCGATTCTTGACAGGTTCTTTTTTTTTTTGGTTACACTGGCTATTAATATTTGCTCCCAAATATTTTATGGAAGTTATGGCGCACAAATAAATGTACGTTTGTTGGTATCTTTGAAAATACTAGAATTTTAGTTTTAGTAAATTGTAGTTAGTAAATGTAATTCCCACTAGGATACTACATAATATCACATCATTTAATACTTAACCATCAACAAAAATGTAATATCACGACAAGTATGAATTTGATGGTAATACGATCTTCACAGATAATTTTATCGCGGCCGTAGTATATATTTCTTTGTAAATAACAGTGTTTAGATAACATTTTCAATGATATCTGTGGATGGAACCTTATTTTTCTATAACAATACGTTCTTGCAAAGAGATAACTTTGATTTTTTGATAAAGCTACATTATACGCCACAAAAAATTAAACAAAACTCATTAAATCAAGTTCGTTGAATGCACTGTACCTTATACGATATATATTTCGTAGGTCCTATTTCAATAAAATAATAAATCGAACATCAAACATATTGAGCAGCGCTGATTGACACAACAGATCAGTAAAATGTTATACATAAAGATGTAACAGATATCTTCACTTACTTGGTCTAAGAATAATAAAGTTATTAGTATTAAATGGCAAAGCTGTACTCGTAAGTTGCTTTAACTTTATCTAAAGAGAGCAAGATCTCTTTGGAGGTGTCATACCATACTATGTACAGTAAAATGACAGTGCTATTAGGTCGACACTGTTCGAAGTTCGAAGGCCACGAGAAGTCTTTGATGTTCTTATTCCTAAATATGTTTTCGTAGTTTTTGTTGAAATATTCTAAAATAGTTTTATAGTAACATGTAGCCCCATCTACTGTTAACCAATTGTAAACATTGCGCTCTGTCCACTAAGTTTAGTCTGTGCTGAGAACTCAACGAAGCGTGTTGCATATCAGTCATCTCATTATCTCATCTCATTATGAGACACAGTTTTAAGATATACCGTCCTTCATAAAATTTTGATGATGTTTTGAGATATTTGCTCAATGCTTCATTTTTAATTTTAACTCTTTTCCGGAAGTCTCTAGCGGAAATCACAAACTTCGAATAGTTACTAAACAGACTAAGGGATTTCTTTTTTGTTTCTCTATTAGATGTTTTTTTTTCGCTTGTAGATTAGGTCATTTTTGTAGAGCTGCAAAGATTCAATTCGTAGACACATATTGTAGACCTCAGAATCTTTAAATTAATCATTATGTGTCAAAAATATGGGCAAATCCAGTTTGGAGCCATTCTCCTACCAAGAATAGCTCCCAAGAGTAATTTTTGAACCTACCATAGAAACTAACTCCTTGATAATCTTTTTCTGGTCTCTCTCGGCTCTTGAAGTAGTTGTGTTAACTCTCAGATTATATGATCACAGTTAAACGTGTATTAAAAATCAAGGTATAGTTGTTTATTTTTCTAATAAAGCGTATTTTCACATGATTTTATCGACATTCAAAAATTCAATAGGTATAACATAATGTTTAAAGATAGATAATGGAAAATTTCTTCTCTCAGTGTAGTAATTGCGGGAAAAATTGTACAATAAACGTAACATAACTAGGTATAATAATAAGTCTCTCTAAAAATTGCCACTGTTCGGATAGTTATTCTGAGGAACGAGTAACCATTGTCACAAGGCTTGATAGTCCTGGAGCATTTCGGGGGGCCCTTGGTGGTACATCGGTTGACAAGAATAAGGCGACGGAGTGGCGATCGTTTGATAGGGGTTTAGTTGATTTTGGAGAAGCCCACTGGCCGCGAATGTCATTTTATGACCGTCGCTTTCGCTGTCCGAGCCACTGGAGTCCAGGTGCGGTTTTTCTGAATTTGTTTGGGTGCTAAAAAATAATACATTTATTAGATTTTTATTATTATACGAAAACTAAAGAGTTACATATTATATAGACGCTTTTTATAATCACTTTCTCAGTACCAGACACCAAAGAATATTTTTTCTTGTCAGTCATACTTCGCAACATGTAGAAAGAAAAGAAAAATAAGCTTTGGATCGAAGACATAGAAAACCATTGTTGAGCAGCAAGTCTTAGTCAACAAAATGCGAATAAAAGAGGCATCGTATCAATTTTTGCTCCCTAAAAGCACATTGGTTAATTAAAGACGGATAGATATGACCCCCTAAGACAAAAAGACAGCAAAAATGTGATAAGAGTTTTAAGGCAGTCATCCGAAACTCTCACTATAAAAATCGCAATCAATAAGTATCCGCAGGGCTGTTGTTAGATTTAAGAAAGAACAAGTTGACTTGTTTTTAAGAAGTACAAGGAAATGTCAACCAAATATTAAGTTTTTCAAATCTTTATATACTACAATATGTAGACGATCAGATAGTGATTGCACAAGAGAAAGAGGCTCCAGTATACATAATAAAACTGATGAGAAAATATCGAGATTGGAGATTGGTGCAAGTCTTTTTTCCTCTGGCTGAAGATGTTAGCCTAGCTTTCATCAGTACATCATCAAGTTTTTGATGCTCAATAAGTTTTGATGAAATACTCAATAAACACGGTATAAATGGAAAAAGATACTCGAATAATTGGTAATTTGTATTAGAACAAGGTCGCTTCAGTTCGAATTGATGAAAACACATCAGAAGAAATACGTATTTTGAAGGAAGTAATGGAAAAAATGGACAGTTATGAGCAAGGACTTAAGTCTAATAACAATCAGGAAAAAATCACAGTAAATAACAATACATACTATTGAGAGAGTTACAACATGGTTGTTTTAAGGCTACATACAAATGAAGCTTGTGCTAATTGGGGAACCAAATGAACCAATATCACTCTTGTACTAATTTTACTCGTTTAAACTACCTTGCTGCAGATCACTTCATTCAAGTAAATAAAGCATTTACAAGACCCACAGTTTCCAATACCAAAAAGCGTTCATCTGAAGAACCAATGACTGCGAAAAAGATAGTAATGCGTTTATATGGAAAGATTTTCTAATTCCTCCGTGGAATTAAAAAATCTTTTTATATATGAAAAGAATACATTGAGGAACTGTTTAAGGATGAAAGACCCGATCTTGAAATTAAAGAAGTAGTGACAGGCCCTGACATAACTATGGACGAAATTGAACGAGCAATAAGATAAGCAAAGACCAGAAAATCGACGGGGTCAGATGAACTACCAAAAAACTGGCTAAATACCAACGGATTGGCTGCTGTCGACTTTTGTGACGGTACCTAAAAAAGCAAACTCAAATTTCTTCGAATTTTGTACTGAAGAATGTACCAAAAAATAGAAGAACACCTTAGTGGCTCGCAGTTTGCGTTCCGCAATAACGTTGAAACCAAGGAAACACTATTTGGTTAAGGTACAGATTTCCAGAGATATTTCTTCTTAGAGTGCCGTCTCCTACGGAGGTTGGCAATCATAAATGGCTATTTTATTTTAGAACTTGCTGCTCTAAACAAATCAATCGATACTGCATTGGTACCAATCACGTAGATTCTTTAACCATGAGTTCTGCCTTCGGCCAACAGATCTTCTTCCTTGAATCTTTCCCTGTATTATCAGTCTCAAAAATTTCATATTTTGGTCCCATCACGTGGCCTAGGTATTCCAGTTTTCTGGTTTGTATAGTGGTAATTTAGTTCTGTTTCTTTACCAACCCTCTCCAGTACTTCTTTATTTGTAATTCTATCACTCCATGATATTATCAATAATCTGCGGTATAATCAGAGTTCGAAGGCCTCGATTCTTTTTAAATTACTTTTTTTTAATGTCCAAGTCTCAGCTCCATTATAATAATATTGAAAATATATAACAGCGAATGGTACGTAGTCTGATCTCCAATTTAGATTTTTGCACGTTAGGAGTGGCTTCATTCGTATAAATGCTGATCTGGCAATCTCTATTCGTCTGTTTATTTCTACAGTATGATCATTGGTTTCATTGATCAAAGTTCCCAAATACTGATATTTTTCTACTTGTTCTATCACGTTACCATTATTGTCAATAAGTGATGTATATTTTGTGGCCTTTTTGTAATCAGCATGTACTTCGTTTTTTTAGCGTTTATAGTAATTCCAATCACAGTGTCGTCTGCATATCTTAAATTGCCATTAAAATGGATGGCCCGGGAAATATTGGCCATCCATTATATATGTTTTATTGACTTTGAGAAGGTCTTTGATCGAGAAGAACATACTGACGCGATAGACATTCTTCGGCAGGTATATATTGATGATTAAAGACCTACTTATCAATAAAAATCTTTACTGACATCAAGTGCAAACATCAAGAATTGAGCAGCATAATGTTGAAGAGCTTCAAATACTAAGAGAAGTACAACAGAGCTGCGCTTTGTCCCCACTAATATTTAACATATATTCGGAATTCGTTTTCAATAAAGCATTTTAATGACAAAGTTAATGGCATGAATATTGAAAATTTGAGGTAGGCGGATGGCACGGTATTAACTGCAAATAATAAATTACGAAGAACTTCAACACTTGATTAATATGATTACCACAACATGTGATAAATATGGACTAAAGCTAAACATCACAAAGACAAAAGTAATGGTTGCCAGTAAAATGCCAATACAACAGAAGTGGTAACAGCTTATAGAGAACAACTGAAGAGAATCAACAGTATCACTTATGTTGGTTGTAATCTAAATGAGAACTAGGACATGAGCAAAGTGACTAGAACACGTATAGACAAGGTCAGAGCTGCTTTTTTTAACAGGAACAAAATCTTATGTAGAAAATATTACTTTGAAACTGAAAATTAGATTAATGAAGATATTATGTATTCTCTATTCTTTTATATAGTGTCTAAGGTTAGACTTTGACAGACACATTTTTAAGAAACTTAAAGCCTTTGAAATCTGGATGCATCAGAGAATTCTGCGAATAAGTTGGGTAGATAAAAGTTCATAACGAGGTTGTTTTGCAGCGGAATTGGAAAAATTGCAAACTGAAATATTTTGGCCATATTCTGCGTCACCCAGAGAGATATAATATACTTTATTTAATAATACAAGGCAAGATAGATAGAAGAAGATGGCCAAGTAAATAAGGAACGTCAAGGTTTAAAAAACCTGAGAAAATGGCTTGAAAACCTGAGAGAACAGATTCTCTGAACACAGTGTCAACATAAAGTGATTCCACAGTCACCAGTGGAAGCTGCACCGCCGGCTACTCAAAGAAATTAAGGGCTCTCGACTAGGACATCAAAATATTAAGTCTCCCTTATTTGAAAATGTGACTAATACGAAAACAAATCATTTTCAAAAGGAAGAGAAGTGAAAAAAGTTAAATTTTTGACTGGAACTTCATATAAAAATATGCTAAAAAGAAAAGTTAAAGATAAATCACAAGACAAGATTGAGTAGATAGGCCGATAGAACTAAAAAAAGAACTATGTAAAAAACTCTTATTGGATGCGCAGCAAAAACGTTCAGTCAAAGAAATTGATAAAGAATTTAATTACTAAATTGATAAATAAAATATCAATGAATATTGGTTACAACGCATTTCATGCATGGGATGGGCGCACAAAGCTTGCAAGGATCAGGAAAATTTTATTTTCTCTAAGTATGTGAAATTGCACCTCTTAAAACCTACTATGAACACTTCCTGAATTTATTATAGAAGATAATAAATAATACACCTATTTTAGAAAATAAAATATACTGGATGACGGAAATTAATGAATTATGAAAGTGCCCGGTACTGAGCAAGTGTTTTTGAAAGCGTTTCATTCATTTGTACGATATCTTGAACTTTTGTCTTTTGCAATATGATACTTCGTCATTAATAATACAGAAAATAAATATTTGCACTTTTTCATTGTTAGACTTTTAACCCTTAAATGTGTTTAAAACGTAAGTTATACGAGTCTGCTATATTATATTTATGGCCTTAAGTACTGCCAAGTGACATCTGACACTTGCACTGAAAATTTGACATTTTTAAGCATAATATGCGCACTCAGAACGTTTATTAATCTGTGGTTTTGAAGTATGAGCAATATTTGTGTTGTTGACCAATATTTTCGTGTGATAATTTATCAGAACTTTCGACGAATTTATCTTTCCAAGATTATCAGGAGAACTTGAATAGTTGCACAGGTCTCAAGCACCCTCCTTTAGCACCGTAAAATATTGGTACAATAAATTCAGTCGTGAACAGCGCTCTCTCCAGGATGAATTCCGTGAAGGTTGTCCAAAATCGGATGTTACAAATCGGGTGTTACACTAGAAACCATCGATGCTGTGCGTGAACGGGTAGGGCAAGATCGTTATGTGACATACCGTGAGACTGGGGTATGCTTGGGAATTTATATGACAAGCATCAATAAGATATTGCATGATTATTTGGCTGTAAAAAAGATTTGTTCACGTTAGATCCTACATGATCTGACAAAAGGTCAAAAAGACTCGTGTAAATTGGTTCAAGGAAATATTTGGCGGGCGCATCAACTGCTGTATATAACATCGACACAGATAACGAAACATGGATCTATGTATATGAGCTCACAACAAATAGCAATCGAGTGTATAGGTGTTCCAAGATAAATTAAATCCAACAAAAGTTGTTCATGGAAGAAGCACATTGAAACAAATAGTCGCTTGTTTTTTTGGTATAAATGGTCATGTAGCTACAGAGCCGTTACAATAACGTAAGACGGTCAATTCTGAATGGTATACAACCATTTGTTTGCAGACGTTTTCAGTGAAATCCGGAAAAAGAATAAGAGCAGACGAATCATTCTTCACCACGACGAACCTCACACACATCAGCACAAGACAGACAGACAGACAGACAAGTTTGGGCATGTTAATGAGAGCAAAACACAGAAAA